ACAAGGTTGGAAGGCATCAGAGACAGTGTCAGGTCCCTGAAGACCCTCTCAGCCTTGGTCAGGCCAGATGGGGTTCAAAACCTGCCTGTCCCACTGAGCGCCTACTCCCATGGTCTGTGCCCCTGACACAACATACAAAAACCAGCCACAAGCTGAGGGCATGGCTTGTGCTTGAGGGCCCGGTGCTGCTGCCCTCGCTCTCCCCAAACCTGATCAGGTTGTGTGGGACCACTGACACCCCTCGGCACCCATGCCCAGGCCAGCCCTGCCCCTCCCAGGGCTGTCATCATGCTGAGTTGGGACCCGGCTATCTGTTATTGCCAGACTTGTCTGTGCCCATCACCAGAACTCAAGCCTGCTCAGAGAAATAACAGCTGGAGGGGACAGAGAGCAGGCCTTAGCACTCAGACGGGGAAAGTTCGTGGCTGTAGGGAGCTCAGTCATTACAGGCAAAGAAATGGCCCCAAGATGTTGACATGGCCCATCACAATCCCCTCCCCAACATCCCCCTCCCTGGTCCAGCTTCTGCTGGGACCAGCAGGGATCTCAGGTGCAGGACCTGGCTGCATCCTGCTCCCTGGGTGGCTTGATTATCCTCTCCTGCTTCATCTGACAGCAGCTGCAGGTTGAGGTGACTCTAGCATGGGCTGGGGGGTAGACTTGGGCCTGGATGGGTTGGCACAGCCCCCACTGCAGGTGAGCAGGACTGAGGCCACTGCTGCCACCAATAGTCCCGCTCTGTCCTGCTGCTCCGTCCCCTGCTAGTACCATGACGGTCAGCTCCCGGGTGTCAGTGCCTTTGCGCAGGTTCTGCAGAGGCACGGGGGTCCCTGGACATTCATGGAGGTCTTGGCTGTGCACTCCCCCAGCAGGAGACCCCAGCGATGCCACTGGGTCCTTTGGGCACAGGCCTGGGGTGATGGACCCGCACCCTGGGTATGCTGCCAGGCACAGCCCTAAACCTGCAAGTTACAGCCCAGCACAATGCAGTGGTGTTTGCTAGAGGAGATGGGCAGCCCCCGCCTCTCCGCACTGTCTCCCCTGCTCAGCAAGCAGGAGCTGCTCATTTCTGGAGGTGTCCCACCCCAGCCTCTTACTAAATGAACCGTTTGCCCCATCCCTTACTAAATGAACTGTTTGTATTCTCCACCTCAGGCCCCTGACGTTGCAGCTAGGTGGAAGGAGGACTCAGAGAGAGGCAGGAATATGGACCCTCATTTGTCCGGGCAGGCAGGCTCAGCACCCTGGCTGAGGGCAGGAAGGAAAGGGTGATGTCCCCAAATCAGACCCCTTCCTGAGGAGGGTCTGCCATGGCTTGTCTCTGAGCTGCCCATGGGCTCCCTGGCCATGTCCCTGTGGGGGATCCCTGGGGGGTGGCACCTTCAGGTGCAGTGATTCAGCAGCACCAGGGTGCCCCTGGGACAGCTCGGTCCCCGAAGGAGGCAGGAAGGACAATGGCATGTTGGGACTGCTGCAGGATGGGCATGGCACCGTCCCGGGAAGGCATGGTCCTCCTCCCAGGAGGCTACTCCTGCTCTGCCACCCCAGCTGCCAATCCTGCCCTGCCCTCCTGCCTCTGGGCCCCAAAGCAAGGGCAGAAAGGGGCTTCAGGGCTTCTCTGTTCACCTGGGACCCAGCACCAGTGACCCTTCAGCCAGGGTGGGAGGGCATGGCCAGGCCAGAGCTAGTTGCCCAGCAAAGAGTCAGCCATGAGAGGGGAATCAGTCTGCAGGCCAGTAGTTAATGTCCCGCCTTTCTGTACGGGACTCTGCAAGCGTTTCACGCTGCTGGATGAACTCTGTAAGGAGCAAATCTTCTGTCCTCCACTTTGTGGCTATTCAACTGCTCTGGGGGGGGGCACAAAGCCAGGTTTTTGGAGCAGAGCTGGCTACATGGACTCCTGGTGACAGGCGGTGTGCAGGGGTGTATCTGGGGTGACCAGTGGCACCAGCTGCATCCCTGCCAGGGCACTGGGGAAGGATGCTCTACCAAGTCTGAATTACAGGCCAGGACCAAGGGGACCAGGAGAGACGGAAGAGCCTGTGGGAGGGTGTAGGGGAAGAGGCAGCAGCACAGCAGCGCTGGGAGAGCTGAAGGTGCCAGCCAGGGAGCTGGGCAAGTGCGCTGGGTGCTGGTTGAGGGACAGAGCAATGGTGCTGGATGCTCAGGGTGGCTCTGGGCATTGGGCAGAGGAGCTGAGACATGAGCAGCATTGTTGGGCGGTGGGGCTGGATGCAGGATGGTGATGCTGGGCTAATGCCCCGATGCTGTGGCTGGGGGGATGCTGCTGTGCATAACTGAACGCTGATGCTGGGTGCTTGGCATCAGTGCTCGTCATGAGCTCCTGTGCTCTGCAACACTTAAGGGGCCAACCCAGGACCACTAGAAAAGGCTGGGGGGGCAGTGCCAGACCTGTTGAGGGCTGCTGCCCAGGCATCATGCAGAGCCCTGTGAGGTTTCCTGAGTGCTGGGAAGGTCCTTCAGTACAGGGTGATATTTGATGGCTTCGTGAGGCCAGGAATGGCCACGGGGCTGGGGGGCACCAGCACGTGACTCTGCCAATTTCCTGGCCGAGGGCTGTGGGACTTGGCTCCGAGCAAAGCTGCAGCTCTGGGGCTGGGACCATGAATGCTGATTGTGACCCTCGGTGCCTTGCCAGCCCTCCCAGAGCCACTGCGATTCCTCTGCCTCCTTTGGCCTCTTCCCTTTGGCAAACAGGATGTTTTTCCTGCCATTCTCAATGCAGCGGAAATTGCCCCAAGCTGATTTGTGACAACGGCGCCTTCAACTTGTTTGGCCTGCCTGGGAAGCAGGCGGCAGCTCTGCAGAGCAGAGCAGGGACAAGACAGCCTGGGGCAGCTGGGGGGCCTTGGGGACCCTGGGAAGGTGCTGGTGGGTGTGATGGTCCCTGCTTTTCCTCTCCAAGAGGTATCCACAATAGAGGAAGAGCCTGAGGGATAATCCTGCTATTCCCACCCTGGCTGGACGGAAAGACAGACATCCAGCAAAGCCTCTCCCTTCTGCAGAAAAGGGAGCTGGGCAGGGACAAACAGGTCAAGGGACATTTTTATCCACTGCTCTTCAGGAGTTACAGAAAATTGTCTTCAACACTGGGATGCAGCCACAGGCTGTGATCCCTCTAAAACTTTTAGAGGAAGGGTCTTGGGCTGTGGTCTTGGGTAGCCAGGGGTTTGCCACCAGCCTGGTAAAGCCAAGCCCCCCATGATGTTTCTGCAGCAAGGCCCGCTTGTTCTGCCTCCCCTCTTGCCAGGTGTCGTCGCTGGGAGTCACCACTTTCAGCCTCTGTGCCCTGGGCATCGACAGGTTCCACGCGGCCACCAGCCCCCAGGCCAGTGCCCGGCCCATCGAGCAGTGCCAGTCCATCATCGCCAAGCTGGCCGTCATCTGGGTGGGTTCCATGACACTGTCGGTGCCAGAGATCCTGCTCTGGCAGCTGTCACAGGACACATCGCCCGTGTCCGGTGTGGTGACGGAGTATTGCACCATGAAGCCCTCGTCCAACCTGCCCGAGTCTGTCTACTCGCTGGTGCTCACCTACCAAAACGCTCGGATGTGGTGGTACTTTGGTTGCTACTTCTGCTTGCCCATCCTCTTCACCGTGAGCTGCCAGCTGGTGACCCGGAGGATCAGCAGCACAGAGAAGACCGAGTGCCGAGGGACCAAGCACAGCCAGTGTGAGAGTCACTTGAACTGCACCATCATTGGGCTGACCATCATCTACGGGCTCTGCACCACCCCTGAGAACGTCTGCAACATTGTGGTGGCCTACATGTCCCTCGACATGTCCAAGCAGACCTTGGATCTGCTCAACCTCATCAACCAGTTCTTCTTATTCTTCAAGTGCTCGGTGACACCCATCCTGCTCCTGTGCCTCTGCAGACCCCTAGGACAGGCCTTCATGGACTGCTGCTGCTGCTGCTGCGAGGGCTGCAGCCCTGACGCTGCCTCCAGCGAGGGCAGCGCCGACAGCAAGCTCAAAACAGAGATGTCCTCCTCCATCTTCTTCGACAAGCCCCGGGAGTCCCCTCCACCCCTCCTGGCCCTCGGCACGCCTTGCTAAGTGCCACCGGGGAGCTGTAGAGATCGATCCACCACCTCCTCCCAAAACCAAACGTTGTTTTGCCATTAGTGCCTGTGTCTGGATGTGGAGCAAGCAGAAGAGACAGCTCAGGGGGCTGCACCATGGGCTTCAAGCCCCACATTGGGAAAGCGGGTCTGGAAACCCCAGTCCCTGCTTCTTGCCTCTGCCCAAAGGCCAGCAAGGACATCAGCACCCTCCCGTCCTGGCTGCCTGGCCAGGCTCAGAGGGGGTTGCTGCTCTGGTGATGGAGTGATGGAGTTGTGCCAGAAAGGTCCCACCTGAAACTACGGAGGGTTTCCATGGTGGCTTGCAGAGGACATAGCAAACAAACTACCCTCCTCCTGTCCCATCCCCTCCCGCCAGCCCCCTCCATAGAAGAAGGTCCCAGTGACTATATCCCACCAGATCCAAGCAGTGCCCTGTAAGAGCTCAATAAACCAGTAAAATAGACCACATCGTGCATGCAGCTGTCCGGCACCACCGAGCAGAGCCCCGGGGAGCCAGTGCTTGGGGCTTGGATGGCTCTTCCCTAAAACCTGGGGGCTCTGGGGTGGGCATGGGTAGCTGGGGGGGTATGAGGGCAGAAAAGCAGCTGTGCCAGGTCAGGCAGCACCTAAGGGTGATGGGGAAAGGCCCCTCTGCCCCCCTCCCTCCGGGGTGATGCTGAGCGAGCTGGTGCCAGGCCAGCCTCTGGGAGGGTCCCCTCCAAAGCACTGGGCTTGGGGTGGTTTGTAGGACTTAAAATGGTCCCAGTAAAGCCTGGCCAGCCCGGCACTGGGCTGAGGTGCTCTGCAGCCTGCAAGACAGCTGGTTCCTCACCTGCACCCTGCAGGACCAAGCTGCTGCTGCTTCTTGGTGCTGCCATGCAGTGCTGCGGGGGAGCCATGCGGGACCACCACCCCCAGCACCCCTTGGGGAGCCAAGGGGGTGAGCACATATCCAAACAGCCCTGTGCAGGGGTCCTGGCCTTCATCCATCTGCCCATTGCAGGGAAAAAATTGTCCCAGAATGATGGTTTGAGGGCATCAGGGTTTCCAAGCCCCATATCCACCCCCTGCCCAAGGCTCCTGCACCTGGGGGGGCTTCAGGGAGCAGCTCGGGCAGTGGGATCAGGCTGACGACAGGCTGGGCACCCCACACCCGGCCGC